TTAAACCAGGGTGAGATCAGCTAATTTATGGATGCCATTAGAGTTTAGTACTTGATGTTTTTCTTTGCATTGCACTGTGCAACTTATTTCAACTTCTACTTTTACTTTATACAGAATCACTGAGGAAAGCAGCCTTGCAGAATGATTTATGTAGAAATATTTGGAATCAATTTAGCAGAAACGAGTTCTAAGCACAGAGATGAAAACAGCATCCTGAAGTTTTGAAAGTTGAGTTTTTCCACACTGTGAAAGGGATTTGCACACAACACCCCATATTTTCTAAGTAATACATATAATTATAAATTATTATAAATATTTATAAATAAAGCTTTTATTTCACGCTTATTGGCTACTGGATGCAAATATCTAACCATCCTCATCACCAGCAACTCTGTGCATTTAGACATGTAGACGTGTTCAAGCCAAGCATTGGGTGATTTAAGTGATTTTGAACGCCGACATTGTTGTTGGTGCTGGTCTGAGTATTTGAGAAGCAACTGATCTGCTAGATTTTCCCGCACAACCCCCTCTAGAGTTTACAGAGAATGGTCTGCAAAAGAGAAACTATAGTGTTAACAGCATAATGCTGAAAAACGAGAGTTTGTCTAGTGGAGGATACATACACTGCATACACTAATCACATACTAATAATAACAAAAGCTTGCTTCAAATAAAGCCCAGCTGCCTTTGAAGCTGTAATAAATAAAAGATGCTTTAAGAAAATACAGCTTACATAAACTAGCGGGAGTGCCACTGAGAGCCAACGGAGGCTGCAGAAAATGTATACAGGCAAACAACTGTATACATAAGTATAAGCATAAGTGTATTATCATATCTTATATCAGTTTTTGGGATCTTATCATCGCTGTAAAGTTGGCAGACAACCACCAAAAAAGAAGCAAATCAAATCTTTTGACTGTAGCTCTGATTGATTAAGCTAACAGTTGTTTTAGCTTCCCTTTGCGCTAACATAGCTCAGACGACAAATACTCAGGATGAAATTTGTACACAATTTGAAAGCAGTGGTGGCAGTGTACTCGCACCAGTACAATGCCAAGTAGAAAACCCCAGTCAAATAGAAAATACATATTATAAAAAGGTTTCCTGTTTGTGTGTATAATTATAGTTCAAATA